AGAGATGGCCTGGCTGCCTTGGTGGATGACCTACACCAGGAGCTAGGTAGGGGGAGCATGTGCCTGTTGGTTTTGCTGGCACTCTTGGTAGTTTTCAATATCATCAACCATAATATCCTTCTGGGCCGCCTGGCTGGGATGGGACTTGGGGACACTGTTTTATAGGGGCTTCACATCTTCCTGTAGGGCAGGGGTCAGCAACCTACGGCCCCCAGGCCGGTTTGGGCCCAGGACGCCGTACTTACCGGCCCAGGCGGACCCCTGTCGCCGCCACCACCGCAGCAGCACCTCCGCTGCTTGATTTTGTGGGCGCGCGACTGCGTGCGCCGTGGCCAGCATTTTGTTCTCCAAAATGGCGGCCGTGATGCGTTTGCGCATGCGCAGGATTTGCGCATGCGCAAACGCGTCATGGCCGGCATTTTGGTGAACCAAATGCCAGCTGTGTCGTGCGCTGTCGCGCGTCGGCATAAACAGACAGCGGTGGAGGCAGCGGAGGTGGAAGCATGCGCAAACGCGATGTGGCCAGCATTTTGGAGACCAAAATGCCGGCCGCGTCCCGCGCTGACAAAAGTGGGCGCAGCGGCAGAGCCGGAGGTGGCGGCGGCGGCGGCGGCGGTAAGGGGACTCATGTGGGGGGGCCGCACGCCGCCATTCCCCCCCCTTGGCCCAGCCGAGACCTGGGCTAGTGGAGACCGGCCCAGGTCTCAAAAAGGTTGCCGGTCCCTGCTGTAGGGGGAAACTTAGAAGGTGGTGTTTTGGGACTCCTGCTTTCCCCCTGGCCATTGGATATGGGGCCCCTCAGGGCTTGGTTCTGAACCCTATGCTATTTAACATATACATCAGTGGTAGGCAACCTTTTTGAGCCGGGGGCAAGGTTGCTGTCCCTCAGACAACTGGGGGGCCAAAGCACCAAAAATGAATGAATGAATAAATAAATAAATAAATAAAAATTTAATAAAAAATGCATGCACACTCTCTCAGCCCCAGAAAAGCCATGGCAAAACCCTTGTGGAGATTTTGCCAAAAAAAACAAAAACCCACCAAGAACAAGTAATAACAACAATAATCAATAACATCCTGGCAGACGGCGGCGGGGGGCAGTGGGGGGTGGCAGCAGTGGCAGGGCTGGCCTGGGGCCAGTCCAAAGGCCTCGGGGGGCCGCATCTGGCCCCTGGGCCTTAGGTTGCCTACCCTTGATATACATGAAACCACTGGGAGAGGTTGCCTAGAGTTTTGGAGTTTATTGTCATTGGTATGCAGTTGACACCCAACTCAAGTACTCCTTTCCACCACAAGCTAGAGAAGCTGTTTTGGTCCTAAATTGGTGCCTGTCATCAGTAATGGACTGGATGAGGGTTAATACATTGAAACTTAATCCAGACAAGAGGGAGGTGCTCTTAGTCAGTTGAAAGGCAGATCAGGGAAATGGGATTCAGCCAGTGCTGGATGGGGTTACACTCTCCCAGAAGATGCAGGTCTGCAGCTTGGGTGTGCTCCTGGATTCAGCTCTGAACTTGGAAGCTCAGATTTCAGCTGTGGTTAGGAGTGCATTTGCAAAGCTAAAGCTTGTGTGCCAGCTGCACCCATTCCTTGAGATGTCAGATATGGCCTTGGTGACATGTACCTTAGTTACATCCCAGTTAGATCTCTGCAACACACTCCTTGTAGGGCTGCCTTTGAAGAGTGTTCAGAAGTTTCAACTGATCCAAAGAGCTGCGGCCAGATTGCTAACTGGGGCTGGCTACAAGGAACACACAGCTTCACTGGCTGCTAGTCTGTTTCTGGGCACAATTCAAAGTGCTGGTTTTGATTTATAAAGCCCTATATGACTCAGGTCAGGTTATTTGAAGGACTGTATTCTCCCTTATGAACTAGTCTAGGCTTTGAGATTTGTTGTAAGATTTGCTCTGTCCCACCACCATCATAGGTATATCTGGTGGGAACACAGGAGAGAGCCTTCTCAGTGGCTGTCTCCAGACTCTGGAACCATCTTCCCAGAGAAGTTAGACTTGCACCCTGCCTACTCTCTTTTCGCAGAGAAGTAAAGACTTCTATTTCAACAGGCATTTGATGAGTGACTATATAAGGTCCATATTACCTAAACAATGTGCTCAGGGTGACTGGAAGTCCTCTTTTTCCTGGACATGTCCTACACTTCAATCTTCTGTCTAGGAGGAATTCCAAAATGTCATTCATGGCTAAGAAGCATGAATTTATATTGATATGAGTGTTTTTAGTTTTTATTTTGTAATGTGCTGCATTTTTCTTGAATGTCCTACATTTTATGTTGCCTTGTCCTCCTTTGTGGTTAGGACATCTGGTCACCCTGATAATAGTTGAGCTGGTGTGTTTGTATGTGTTTGTAAGTCTAATGATATATGTTTTGATCTATTTTTTAAAATTGTTTAATCTTGTTTTAACTTTTGCATCCTGTGAATTTCAAATTGTTATAAACTGCTTTGAGTCCTGAACTGGAGAAAAGGCAGGATGGAAAATAATAATAATAATAATAATAATAATAATAATAATAATAATAATAATAATGTCATGTGATCTCTCATCTTCAGTCACAACTGGTAGAGTCTACAGATAATTTTATACTTCATCTACTGCTTCTTTGTGTGAAATGAAACCTCAGACTGTGAGAGAAGAGTGTGTTCTTTGAGGAAAGGTTTTTGGAAGGGTCTACAACAGCTATTTCTTTATCAAAACTGGAGGTGGGGGCTGCTTCTCTTGAGGCAACCCATTGCCCTTGGTTCTGCATCAGTAGAAGCAGCTGGTTTTGTTTTATTGATATGGCCCTGGGCCCTTTTGCACAGGCACCTGTCTGTCCAGAATGACATATGTATATCACTCAGAAGAGATGGCGGGGAACAATGGAAGAAAAGAGAGGGTTATTGGTTATAATGGGGACAAAGCTGGGTAGAGAAAGGGAAGGTTACAGGAAGGGTATTCAAAGAGTGACATGTTGTATGGATGGGCTCAGTGGCCTTTCCAACTTGAGAGTAGGTGCTTGGCTGGGGCCTGAAGTCATTAATTTTGAAGAGGGTTGAGAGGAAAGTGGTGGAGCTGATAAAAGGGTCTGGAATGCTGCTGAGCAGATGAAGGCTTGTTTATCCTGGAGAGGAAAATCTGGAGGGTGGTATGAATGATAACAGGCTTCAGTTATATGTCAAAGGCTGCTCTTAGTGAGAAATGAACCAAACTGTTATCTGAACCTATTGAGGATCAGGAAAGAGGAGGAAGGGCTTTACCCAAAAAGAAAGATTAAATACCGGGAAGATTTTTCTGTCCATAAGAATAGCCATGCAATGGAATGTGGCATGCCTGCATTCATTGGGAGTTTTTAAAAATAGGCAAAACATCTGTCATGACAGGAGGGAGTCTGAGTGAATAAAGGATGGAAAATAAAAATCTCCTTTGGAGGAGTGAGAAAGATATTGCTGATTGTAATGATAGGACTGCAAGAGAAAACATCTGAGCCCCAGAAAGTAGCTTATAAAAATACTAAATAAGGCAAAATATTGAATAAGTACCCAAAAGAATATTGAATGTTTAAAGTTTGCACTATGAAGACAGGATATAAAGTGGTAAAAACTTGGATTGTGCCACTTCAGATTGGAATGAATATCCCCTCATCTCCCATATAAATATTTGCTTATCATAAAAAAAAGACACCAAAGAGAAGGACTTTCTGTCTAGACTTTCCTCTGTGTTGGTGTGTGTTCACAATGTTACTTGCCACCACCACTGAATACTGTATAGCCAGAAATACTTTCACTATTTCGTCTGCTGTCTGTGTGGAGCAGGCACCAAATGTTATTACAATGATGATGCTAATACTTTAAAACATGGCTAGCATCCTGAAAAATTCAAATCCCTTAGTGGTCTTGAGAGAGGGTCATCGGGGCCTTAATCTGTGCCAGGTCACAGTTCTGACCTCTGCTCTCATTGCCAACCTTCTTGCCCTGGAACAAGAAAAGATGGAGCTGCTTACTACTTCCATTGGATATATTAGACTCACTACTGAGTAATTTTAGAGGGACCACATGCATTGTGGATTAAGAGGAAGGGCATTCAGATCAGGGGCTGTTTTTTTTCCCTCCCTTCTTCTTCTAGAATAGTTTGAGCCTGGCGTCTCTTTTGCTGGAAATTTAAGCACAGGACTCAGCTGTGCCATCTCAGTAAACCCCACCTGTTCTTTCCAGAGTCATTTGCCTTTGCTGTTTCCCACAATCCCATCTCTGTTCTGTGTGGATGGCAGGTGTCCATCTCACTGGGCCCCAAAGAGCTGACAGCAAGGGAGTTGAGTGCTATAGATACTACATGCCACCCACTTAGCACTCTGCCACCTCTCAGAATAACCCTGGGGAGGAGAATCAGACTCCTGTCCCCCAACTGCTGATTCCCCTAGAGCAGACAAAGGTGGAGCAGGACCCGAAAACAACTCTGAAAACAATTGAGTTAAACCCCTTATTGTATATATTTTTCAGTTTGTTAACTGGAAAGAAACTATCTGGAAAAAAATGTGTATGTTTTGGCGAGAGAGCTATGAAGCAGTGGTGTTAAACCCTTACATTCATGTTCCCTGTCACAGTCTGATGACTAAATATTGTAGAAAGAATGTCGGATGGGAAGATTGCTGCACTTGTTGTTAAACATTGCCAGTAAATTAGTAAATAATACCATTCAGTATTCATTAATTCCTGCGTGTATGTTATCATTCACTACTTGGGCAAAGAGGTCTTTATTTGTTGTCAAGATGGACGAAGTCATAAGGAGTGCCACTTCTATGCCAAGTAGTCTTGCTTGGATATGCAGCTCATTATATTCTAGGGAGTTACAGAAAGAAAAGACCCTTGGGAGCTTTGGGCCTTGGAGAAGTGCTTGATGGCTAAAATGAGCCTATCTGAATGTACAGGAGAGGGTGATAGTGGGTTGTGATTAGGAAACAACATGAAAAATCTTGAGAGCTGAGGCTACAAGGAAGAAATTGAAGTTTCTATTTGACGTAGTGGTTTGAGTGTTGGACTACCACTCTGGTGACCAGGGTTCGATTCCCAGCTCGGCCATGAAACCCACTGGGTGACCTTGGGCAAGTCACAATCTCTCAACCTCAGGGGAAGGCAATGGCAAATCTGCTCTGAACAAATCTTGCCATGATAAGTTTGCTTTGAGGTTGCCATAAGTCGGAAATGACTTGAAAGCACACAACGACAACGATAGAGAAAAGTGACATTTTGCTTTATTCTTGTATCCTCCATCTCCTTCTCATTCCCATGACTTTGAGGATTTATGGTCAGTATCTGGGGCTGTTTTTTGTCCTTTGGTCAGGTTTCAACATATAATCAATCCCTTCTCTGTTTCTTGCTCACAGAACCCCGGGTACGGTTCCAGGCACCTTTGGTGGATGTGGAAGTGTTTGAGCGCCAGGATGCGATATTAGAGTGCCAAGTGCCTCTAGAGACCATCCCTACAGTGTGGTATCTTGAAGACAAGCGTTTGCATCCCAGTCCCAAGTACCTAATAGAGGAGCGAGGCCTGTTGCGGCGGCTGACCGTGCGGGATGCACGGGCTGACGATGATGGCATCTACCTATGTGAGATGGAGGGCAAGAGCCGCAGCATTGGAGAGCTTTCAGTTCAAGGTGAGAAGAATTTGGAGAAACGTTAGGTGCAAGGTGACTCTGTTTTACAGAGGACAATCATACATTTGAAGGCGTTGAGTCTGTATGAAGGCTAAAGTACCCAAAGAAGCTGAAAAGTCACAGTCTTTCCTACTATGGCAATATGTTTTGTGTTTCTATTTCAATTGCAATCATTATTTTTAATTAAAATCTATACATATTAGTGAACCTATGTAAATTCATACCTCTTCTTTGATAATGTGTTTCCTTTGGGGGGATGATGCATAAGTAGCCACCCTAATTAGGGTAGTCCTGCACCATGACAGGGTTGTTTTAATGATATAATTGTGGCATTGGAACAATGCTTCTCAAGCTATCTTATGTGATTGGGATTGGTATTTTTCCACATTGCGGCAGGGTCCATTGCCATGTTGTTATCATATTTGTATTATGTTCTGAAAACTCACTGTTGACCAGCACCAAATGGCTTGGAGATCAGCACTGGTCCATAGACCATCACTTTGGGTAGCACTGCGTTACAGCTCTATTAAAACTGTTAAGATAATGGCCAAAACTTTTCCCCACAGGCCTGATAGTGAAGCGGTTGCCACGAAAACTGGATGTGATGGAAGGGGAAAATGCTGCTTTTTATGTGGAGACACGGGAACCTGTGGAAGCCCCAAGCTGGGGCCGTAATGGGCAGGAATTGGTGGAAGCATCACACACCCTCATCAGGAGCTTTGGCAAAACTCATCTTCTAGTGCTGGTACATGTGTCACGGCATGATGCTGGAGTCATCACTTTCACAGCAGGAGAATCACAAACTTCTGCACAGCTCCGTGTCAAATGTGAGTCGAGAGAGGTGATGGGACTGGTTGAGGGTTGAGGAGGTGAAATCTTGCAAATCACAAAATCTATTACATCTGGCCTTTGAACTGAACTTCAGTCAAAAAGCCATCCTTTTAGTAAAAGTAAAACTTGTTTCTCTTTTAGCTTTATTTCATTTTTTAAAAAGGATTTATATATTGTATACCTTCTCACAGTAAAGAAGTCTGAAGACAATTTACAACACAAACATCAACTAAGCTTACCTATCCTAAAGATAGTCTAACCTCCCCATCCACCCCAAATGAAAAAGACTGAAAAGCAAGCAAAGAAAGCTGTAAGGACTAGATAATTAAACTATCCAAATGTTGGAGGGAAAGAGAAATGTCTTTGCCTTGTGCCCAAGAGGTGAAGAACTGGGGCAAGTAAGCATTCCTGGGGAATGTACCATAATTGGGGAACTATCACAGAAGAACTGTCTTCTCTCATCTTCACTTTGTGAACATTTCTTGGTGGAGAAATGGAAAAAGGGGCCTCCGATGTTGAATTCAATATCTAAGCAATTTTAAAAAGCGGTCCTTGCAGCAGTGGGGTCCCAAGATATACAAGTCACTTTAAGTTGGTTCCCCAGACAACTGGGCAACTAATGCAGATGGCTAGAACTGGAGTTACTGTGTATTACTGTGCAGAACACCTATTTCCAGTCTGAAAACCAGCATAGTGTAATACTTTGAATGTTGGACTAGGATTCTGGGAGATCACTTGAGCATGGAAACTCACTAGGTGACCTTAGGCAGACCACACACTCAGAGGAAAGAAATGAACTTCCTTTGAACAAATCTTGCCAAGAAAACCCCACGACAGGTTAGTTTTAGGATTGCCTTGAGTTTAAAATTACTTGGAGGGTTACAAGGCTCACAACAACAAAGTTCAAGTCAACAGCCTTGCTCCCACAGTCTGAATTATCTGGGGCTCTTTGGACTGCCTTCAAAGGCAATCCAATGTAAAGTGCTTCACAATAATGCAGCCTAGAAGATATTAGAGTGTAGGCCACCAAGGCCATGCTGTTCCTTTCCAGATAAAAGCACAGCTAGGCTAACAGTTGAAGCTGGTAGATGTCATACAGGTTACTTGTGTCTCCATTGACAATAATGGATCCAAAAGGGCCAGTATGCTGTGCACTTGTTACTTCAGGGTGTTTGTAACCATCTAGGACTGTGTTGCAGCTCATCTCATCTCATCTGGACTGAGGTCATATATCAATAGTCTTACATAGATTAAATTTGAGAGAACTAGAGTTCATTCAATCCCTAAATGAGGCCATGAACCAGTTCAGTGTATATCCACCAGCACACCATATCACATATGTCAGGAGAATTCCCATATACTCACACATCCCTGTTTACTCATACAAGTTTATTCATTCACTTATATCATATCGGTTTCCTCAGCCATGTTAGGTGACATTTTATTGAGAATCAGCCCTTCATTAATCAAGAACACCTACGGGTCAATTGGTTAGATGACAGTACAACTACTACACCCCTGGTTGGAGATGGCTAGCATATGGCACAACAGAAAAATAAGTATGGCACAAGGCTCTCCCCTTGTTAGTCCCTTTCCCTGTGTCTTATTTCCTCTACTGAGCAATAGTGTATCTTTCCTAACCCTCAACCAATTCTTCCTATGCCCAGAGACCACCCTCCTCTAGGCTCAGACCATAGGCAACCAAGAACACCCACACACAGGACTCCTATGCTAGAGAAATCCTAATATAACTCCCCATTCATCAAATATTAAAGCTCTTGCCCACCCAAAACAGCTCTCCTGAAATGGGTGAACTGCACCAAAAGAATGGCATTGATATGTTCCTCTTTACAATTGCCCCCACCTACATGGGCCCTTTGTTGGTAAAGCCTTTCTTGACATAAGGCAGAACTTACATGAGTTTATCACTCAGCTTGGGAAGCTATCACTCTTGCTGGCATTGTCAACATCTTGAACAACAGCAGGGACTTCTGGCATGGTTCCTCAAGATGGTGAGAAAGAACTCACCTTCTCTGCAGAATTTTCCAGCTGCCTTATCCTTCAAGGGTAAGAAGGGCTTTTCCTTTTCTTTGACTATTGATGCTTCATAGATGGGAGGGTTGCCATACCAGAACCCTGGAAGTGGATCAGATCTGTATGATGTAGTGCTTCAGTTAATAAGTGAGGCCTGGATATGGTTGATTAGTACTGATTTGAAATATTTGTGGAAGTGGATAGAATTAAGCACTAAACTATCCCAGAGAGTTAGAATCAAAAGTTTTGATATCTCTATTCCCCTTTGGGCACCTTTAGTTATTCGTGTTCTCACTGTTTTGCTAACTCATATTGGCAGTGTGCCCCACATGCCTGTGTGTGTGTGTGTGTGTGTGTTTGTGTGTACCTTCAAGTTGCCTGTTGACTTTAGGTGTCAAAGAAAACCCTGAATTTTATAGGGCTTATAGGGTTTTCTTTGGCAAGGAATACTCACACATGTTTTTGCCAGTTCCTTTCTCTGAAATATAGCCTACAGCACCTGGTGTTCATTGGTGATCTCCTATCCAAGTATTAACCAGGGATGACCCTACTTAGCTTCCAAGATAAGATGAAATCTGATGCCTTTGGGGTATTTAGGGCCCCTATACACAATATCCCTATTTTCTCTATTTTGCACATGAGGTATCCTCTTGTGGACCTCAGTGAACAGGTAATGTGGCAGAGTAAATAGCTAACATAGTATTGCCTGGTGCTGCAGTATTGTAGAAACTAAAGGTGCAGTTAATATAACCTAGGCTGGGTAGAAACCACTTGAAAGTCTATATATGCAGTTTTCAGCTTTTGAAAGGAATATCAGTCAACTCATTAATAGTGCTAAAGTTACTGAAGTATGATTAAAGGCTCCATTTCCATCACAATTACATTTTTTTTCTAGAACTGAAATTGAAACAGGAGAGAAAATTCTCACGTAGACTCTACAAATGCATATGTGCTTGCAAGAATTGGAATTTGTATGCTCCTTAATGACACTGAAATTTGACACGTTTATATTTATGCAATTGCACTTAAAATCGATCAGTGGGACTCCAACTTTATATTTTGTTGAAAGTGCAACTCGAATTGAAATTTTATTTAGCAATTCTGGAAGATTCTGGAAATTAAAAAGAAACCTCCCAATTCTTGGCAAATTTAATTTTGAACTACCAAGTTAAAACTGAACACTACTTTTGACATTGCTTTTAAGCACTATTTTCCCCCTATGTCCTGGACCTCAAATTATAGTTTTGAGACTAGGGGGGGTTGCAGACTGCCAGAAATAGTGCAAACTGAGTCCACTTTTAGGGTTAGGGTTAGGGAATCATGGAAACTGTAGTTTATTGTGGCACCAGAGCTCTCTGACAGAGAAGGCTCAATGTCTCAGAAAAAACCCAATTCCCATGATTCCCTAGCACTAACCCTAACCCTAAAAGTGGACTCAATTTGCACTATTTCTGGCAGTCTGCAACCCCTTTCATCTATTCCCCTGAGAGAGTTCTACACAAGCCAGTCTCAGTCTCCAAGTATTTCTCCATAAAAAGAGGGCCAAATATCTATCCAGTA